AGTTAAGCCAGTCTTCCACATCGTGAGCATTAGGCATTTCCTCATTGTCAAGTTGCTGTACATGTTCCAACATTTCGACCATGGACTCGGCGATATTATCGCACAGGATAATATGCTGTTTCAACAGTGTTTTGAAAGGATTATTGGGCTTTTTGCGACTTTGAGTTTTCAAGATCACAACTAATTCATATTCATGAAAAAATTGGGACCAGAGAACAAAGTCCAGATAATCGAATAGTCCGGATAATCGAGGTCCGGATAATCGAGGTTTGACTGTATTAAAATTCAGCCTAAAACAATAGACCTCAGTACGAAGCTCTAGGGAATGACTACAGCATTTGTGGGTTTATTCCTGAGAGCCTCATGGTGAGGTCTGTTGTGTTCGGCTGATTTAAAAAAATCAAAATATTTCTATTGGAAGTGTTCCTATAAACTGAACAATTGCAACATACACTTGCAAGCATGTTTTTAGCTGGGTACCATACATGTTACAATTTTTCGTCGGTACTTCAAAACAAAAAATATATGTACTATAATATAAAGAGGTAAGTGAAGAATGATCATTGCAGTAAATTTTCCAATTTAAACAATTGGAAAGAAGAAGCCTGAAAAAAATCAGGCTTCAACGGGATTCGAACCCATGACCTCCACGATACTGGTGCGATGCTCTACCAACTGAGCTATGAAGCCACACATTGGGAGCAAGGTTCATATATGAATTATTTCATATATACTTCACATCATTTCACTCCTCACGGGAAGATATGAACTCAATTAATTGACCTTGCTCCCAATGTGTGGCTTTACAGCTCAGTTGGTAGAGCATCGCACCGGTATCGCAGAGGTCACGGGTTCAAATCCCATCAAAGCCCTGATTTTTTTCAGGCTTCTTCTTTCCAATTACTTAAATTGGGAAATTTACTGCGATGATCATTCTTCACTTTCATCTATAACCGCAGTTCATATATGAATTATTTCATATATACTTCACATCATTTCACTCCTCACAGGAAGATGTGAACTCAATTAATTGACCTCACTCCCAATTTGTGGCTTCATAGCTCAGTTGGTAGAGCATCGCACCGGTATCGCGGAGGTCACGGGTTCGAATCCTGTTGAAGCCCTGTTTTTTTCAGGCTTCTTCTTTCCAGTTGCTTAAACTGGAAAATTTACGGCGATGATCATTCTTCATATAAAGAAGTGTCGTCAGATACTGATTGCCAAAATTACCTGGATGTACTAACTGTACCCAGATTCGTAAATATTGTCCAATCAAGAGCAAAGTCTTCTGCTCTGCTGAGTCATTGACCTGATATGGCTATGACACTATGGTTTGTACTTTAATAATTAAAAGTAATTTTCCATGAGTAAATTAAGGATAAAAGGTTTGAAAATTTTTCCACCAACACTAAACTGATGGGTGCTCGTCAACTGCCTTAACACAATACTCAGGCTCAAACCTTGGTGAGCATTTTTCTTTCAAAGTTAATCAGTCTTAGTGTGTGTTTATTCTTTTAGGGAACTATTCCCCTGGGAAACTGTACATCAGAAAATTTGAAGAAGCTACAGTTAAAGGAAGGAGAAGTAGTTTTGAGATGCACAAGATGTGAATGTATTAAGATCGATAGAGCCCATCATTGCAGGTATTAAAATCTTGCAGTAACAAGCATCCTTAATAATTAGTAAATTAGAGTATTAGGGTATTAGGGTATTTGGGTGTCATGGTATTAGGGTTTAAGGATGTTAGGGTATTTGGGTATTAGGGTATTAGGTTGTTAGGGTGTTATAATATTAGGCTATTAGGGTATTTGGGTATTAGGTTGTTAGGGTGTTAGGGTATTAGGGTTTTAGGGTGTTAGGGTATTAGCTTATTAGGGTACTAGGGTATTAGAGTATTAGGGTATTCGGGTATTTAGGTGTTACAGTATCAGGGTTTAAGGATGTTAGGGTATTTGGGTATTAGGATGTTACAGTGTCACGGTGTTATGGTATTAGGCTTGCAGGGTATGAGGGTATTAGGGTATTGGGGTGTTAAGGTATTAGGGTGTTAGGGGTTAGGGTATTAGGGTGTTAGGGTATTAGGGTATTAGGGTATTAGNTATTAGGGTATTAGGATATTAGGATATTAGGGTATTAGGGTGTTAGGGTTATTAGGGTGTTGGAGTGTTAGGGTGTTAGAGTATTAGGGTATTAGGGTATTGGGGTGTTAGGGTATTATTCTATTAGGGTGTTGGAGTGTTAGGGTATTACGGTATTACAGTATTAGGGTATTAGGATATTAGGATATTAGGGTATTAGGGTGTTAGGGTTATTAGGGTGTTGGAGTGTTAGGGTGTTAGAGTATTAGGGTATTAGGGTATTGGGGTGTTAGGGTATTATTCTATTAGGGTGTTGGAGTGTTAGGGTATTACGGTATTACAGTATTAGGGTATTAGGATATTAGGGTATTAGGGTGTTAGTGTGTAAGGGTGTTAGGGTTATTAGGGTGTTGGAGTGTTATTCTATTAGGGTGTTGGAGTATTAGGGTATTACGGTATTACAGTATTAGGGTATTAGGATATTAGGGTATTAGGGTGTTAGTGTGTAAGAGTATTAGGGTGTTAGGTTACTAGGGTATTTGGGTATTAGTGTATTAGGGTATTGGAGTGTTAGGATATTACAGTATTAGGGTATTAGGGTATTAGGGTATTAGGGTGTTAGTGTGTTAGGGTATTAGGGTGCTAGGGTGTTAGGGTATTAGGGTGTTAGAATATTAGAGTATTAAGGTATTTGGATATTAGGGTGTTATGGTATTAGTGTGTTAGGGTATTAGTGTGTTAGGGTATTAGGGTGTTAGGGTGTTAGAGTATTAGGGTATTAGGGTGTTAGGTTTTTAGTGTATTAGGGTATTTGGGGTATTAGGGTATTAGTGTATTAGGGTGTTGGAGTGTTAGGGTATTATAGTATTACAGTATTGGGGTATTACGGTATTATGGTATTACGGTATTAGGGTATTAGGATATTAGGATATTAGGGTATTAGGGTATTAGGGAGTTAGGGTATTAGGGTGTTAGAATATTAGAGTACTGGGGTATTTGGGTTTTAGGGTGTTAGGGTATTAGGGTATTAGGGTATTAGGGTTTTAGGGTGTCAGGGTATTAGGGTATTTGGGTGTTAAGGTATTAGGTTTTAAGGCTGTTAGGGTATTTGGGTATTAGGGTATTAGGTTGTTAGGGTGTTATGGTATTAGGGTTTTATTACTATGATCGTGCATGACAGATAGGCATGTGGAGAACCAGTCACAATTGAGAAATTGTTATATAGATATGATGAACAATGTTGTATGGCTTGATAATTATTTAAAAACAAAAAAACTGGTGCTAGTTGTTTAACTGTTTATTAATTATCAATTGTATAAACAATTAAAAAGGTTAAGCAATAAGAGTAAGTTATTTTCAAGTTGCCCTTACCTCTGTACAGTGTCAAAACAAGTCTTGGTGCACAACCTTTTCTTGCATGTTTGTTGTCTTGCAAATCAAACTCATTTCCATATGAAAGGTTTTGTACCAAGATTCATTTTCAAAAGGAGATAAAAAGGAAGACGGAAATGGCATATTACTGTACTAAGGTGTTTTTTACTTAGCAAACAATATTCTGTGAACCAATCATAGTAAACGTTTTGGGTGTGACTAGTTGCAAAGACTAGTTTAGTTCTGCAGTTTTCAAAGTGATGACCTATGGAAGTTGAACAAACCCTTGCATATAATAATTATTGTACTGGATCAACATAGATGAAGATTTTGGGAAATTAAAAAATTTGCACAAAAATAAGACCAACCAGTTTGCTTGAAAACATAGCAATCACAGGGTTTAACTATATTTAAATAAATATTTACTGCTGTTTGCTAACAGTTAGCATTTATTTACTGCTGTTAGCTTGCGGTTAGCATTTATTTACTGCTGTTTGCTTGCAGTTAGCATTTAAGGGGTGAAGGGGAAGGCAACTATACAATGTGTCCTTACATTCATTATATGCCATAGAATGCTTTGTTATTAATACTATGTTCATAACAAGAACTGAGATGTGTACAGTCTCCTATTTTTGTGGAGTATTTGTTAAGTTCATTTGTAATATTATTATTGCTTGGACTAGCTACCTTTTTGTTTTTTGTTGTTTGGAGTAGGGGTGGAGGGAAAGAGAGCTTGCCAGGATGTCTTAGACGTTTGATTAAACCTCTCCTGAAAACTAGCCTGTGCTATAGCAGCCCTTCCTGAAAAAAAATGGCAGAGAAAATCTGTGTGTTGCTGTTGACAATCATGTTCCTTGCATAAATTATCCATGCATTAAAACCATTTCTGCAATCAGTGTAACAACAGCCAATGTGACATGCAGAGACAACAAAGGAACTTGTTCTCATCATGTGACCTTGCATGAGACAATTAAAGACCTTTCATAGGAAAAAAACAGACCACTTATGGAATAATTTTGTTGCCATAAAATGCTGAGTCCCTATGTTAAATTACCTGGTTTGTACACTTCAAAATTTAAATCTAAATCTCACTCAGAAAGTGCAACAAATTTCCATTGCAGGGCAGGAAAAAAATTTTGAATTCCAGTTGCCCAGTGGACCAGTACATTTGCACTTTTCAGTTGCCCCCACTAAATTTAACTTTCCCAATTTAGGCGTGCAATAAACACGAGCAAAGAACTCTTGGATTGTAATTCAGTCTATCCTTTCAACTTATTGTTTTGCTCATTTTGCAGTCATAATTTTTGCAATTTTTTTTGATTAAAAATGATCACTAACACGACTACTGAGGCTAATTTCACTTGCCCACCGGACCACCACACTTCCATTTTCACTTGCCCCAAAAAAGAGCAAAATTTACTTGCCCTGGGCAATCAGACCTAGGTTTTTTCCTGCCCTGCATTGTGGTCTCAACAGCCAACTCTCGAGGTCACAGTCTGCTTGACCAATGAACATAACCCTTCATAAACTGCAAGAAATTGATGTAACAATGGCAACTGAAAGCCTTAGATTATTGCTGGAGATTGTCACACTGTTATGCTGACTTGTTTGTTTGTTTGGTGTTTTTCATAAATGCAGCACATGTCAGAGGTGTATTAGGTAAGTCCCTTGTTTTCCTACAGTCTTAAAAAGAGCGTGTGGTCATCGGTATCCAACATGGTTGATGAAATTGTACTTGATTTACTATCTGTGTCTGAAAAGAAAAGGTCAAATACACAACTTGTGCAAATTTTAAAGAGAAAGTCTGAAGTGTTCCATCATATTTTTGAGATCAGATAAAGCTTATTGATCATCTTTGCCATCAGTTTATGCCGATGTCCATACCATGAAATAATAACAGCATTGCTGGTGATCCAGGACTCTGGTTTAGATTCTACAGTTCATCCTAGTCTGTATATTTGCTGCAGGTCAAAATGAAATTCAGGTTAAAATGATTTTAAACTGGTTTGATTCTCAATTTCCTTTGTCTTCTAACCCTAATTATTCATGATCCATGAATAATTAGGGTTAAGAGACAGAGGAATTTCATTTTAACCTGAATTTCATTTTGCCCTACAACATATATATTCTCTCTTGTCTTCCAAGGACTTCTGTGTGGGGTCACATATCACCATATCAGACCCCCTGGGCTGAACATGCAGTGACCAGAATTAGTGGAACTTGCCTCCCTTTGTAGGAAATATACTTGGAATAAATGAAGGATTAATGTTACAAAATATATGATCACAGCTTTACCTAGTAATTACCTTGTCCATCCAGTTTTTTATACATTGTCTAAAACGTTCTCACTTCCTTTCAGGAAAATGGATCACCACTGTCCATGGTACGTAAAGAATATTTTTATCCTAACATCAGCCAAGGTAACAACCACCTGAGAGAAACAATCATTCAAGAGTAGCAATAAAATTTCATAGTTGACACCGTAGTAAATTGTTATTGTAACAAAAGGAAAACCCTTCTTTAATTGATTTTAAATTTGTCAAAAAAATATATTAGGTTTTGTCTTACAAGTCACTGAATGAGTTCAGCACTCTACATATATACATCTCTGTCATCTAAAACAAACTCGTCAATATTAAATTTGAAAGGTTTGTTTTTCTTCTTACAGGATAAATAATTGTGTTGGTGAAGACAACCAGAAATTCTTTGTTTTATTCACAGTGAGTACTTTGCTTGTTGAGAAAGAGTTTATTGATTCAGAACGTTATTTATTGTTGCACTAGTAGTTGAATCTAGTGATGAAATTTTTGAATGCAATCCTTTTCAGCTCTACATTTTTGCGATATCAGTGTATGCCTTGGGTTTAACAGTTAGACAAATCCTGATTTGTACTGATAAAGAATGGAACGGTGAGTAACGATGCTTAGTAACAGTGAATTAGAATTAGGTTAAAACCCTCACTGAATGGCCGCTCAGATTAAGAGGTAAATCAATTTTTGAATTTGCCTGAACCTTCTCTAGTTTTTGCATGAAGCTATCTAGTAAGCAATTTATTAGGCAAAATTTTACATCTCTCTTAAATCTACTGGTAGGCGTTTAGCCAGTGGGCATCCAAAATGTGCTATAGGACCTGCTCAAAAGAACAAATTATAAGACAACATATGAAAAATAAAACGATTTTCTTCAATAAGTGGCCGTCCACAGGATGCCTGGGCACCCATCTGGCTAAAAGCCTGTCTACTAGTGTTCTAACAAGAATGTTGTTCTCTGATTGGCTACGCTACTCACTATCTATTCTGTTGTAGATAGTGAGTAACCTAGCAGTGTGTGGTTGTTAGCTAAATGGTAAACGTGTGTGAAGAGGATTTTTATAACGTTTTGAATGACCAGTGGATTTAAAATAAAACAGTCAGATTATTTGCTCTCAAATTCTATACGTCATAGCTGACAAGGGCGCAAATGCATGATTGTTGACTGGGCGGTGCCCTCGTCAACTATCATGCCATAGACATTTCAAGCGCAAAATCTTTTTATGATATTGTGTTATTGGATGTAATCTTCAAACAGTACAAATGAAAAAGAAAGAAAAGAGAGAAAAGTCCTTCAATTAATACTTAATTGACACTCTCCTTCCATTTCCTAGTGGACATTTCTTACAAAGCTGTTGTTGGAGAAAGTATTCTGCACAATAATTGATATCGTGAATGAATTATTTATGATACATCAGTGTAACACCAACCTTCTCTTTTCCCTCTCAGCAGATTGTACCTTTATACCAGTGGCCTCTGCCATTTTATTGATGATTTTTCTAGTGTTTGAGGGATTGCTGTTTGGAATTTTCACGCTTGTTATGTTCTGTACGCAAGTCACGTCTATAGTGAAGGACGAAACGGTAAGTTCACTCTCAAAAGGAAAAGTAGGTATGATCGTACAGACATGTTTTTTTCATGTAATACTGCACTGCATTGTACATTTTCCATGCTTTTCTGATTTTGAGTAGCTAGCTTTCTTTGGTGGAAAAGGGCTTTTATGGATGGAGATACATGTACTGTTGAGCTGAAGAGGAATTCGTGTGTTACGAGTCTCGTAAACCGCTAACTTTGTCCGTATTTTCAAAAGAGGAAGCTTAAGTCAGCAAGCAGAATGGCGACTTTGGCCACACATGCCCGGGAAAGACTCCCTTACAAAAACATAGCGGGTGCTCGTCGGAAATTTTTAAGAAATCTCTTNGAGGCCAATATCCAGCCATCTTGACCGAACAAGCTTGGTCAATAAAGGATTTATTATATGGCTTTTGGGGAGATTTTTCTTGCGGGACACGGCGGGTAGTCCCGAGCGGGCAAGATAGCTCCATCTTGCCCGCTCGGGTAGCCAACCACGGCGCAGGATTTGTTTCATCTTGCTCGCTCGCGGAGCTAGCCATATAATAAAATCACTTATTGCCAGACTTACACGGACAAGAAGCGAACTAAACTCTGATCTTCGTTCTGTTTCAGGTATGAAAATCTACAAGATGTGTTTGGAGGGTATTTTTCTATTTCGTGGTTTTCTCCATTCTCGTCAGCCCCGTCTCGGCGAGCAAACTTCACATTTCACGATGTCTAAACCAAGCCTCACTCATATAAATAACTGTATCACAAGCAACATGTCATTTTGTACAATGGTGATTTGTCGCGAGAGCAAAGCTCAAACGTTCCACCTGCTTTTCCAAAAGGACCAACCTGCTGGCAGAAGTTCTTTTTCCAGAACCGATCATCTTACAGCTTGTCTGTTACTGCAGCCCAATTCTCCTCACAAGTGCAAGAACCGTTGTCGAAAGCGCCTTTTACTGAGCTAAGCCGGAGGAGCAAGTACCGTTTTGGGGGAAATCGTCTTTGAAGGATTCGGAGAGTGTCCGATTCTTCTCACCCAATCAGACGACAGCACGAGCACTCACGAGTGCTACGAACGTTGCCACGTCAGCATGACGCAATGAGATCCCTTGTTGCTTAGCAACTTTGATGACGTAAGGCCGCTGTCTCATTAGGGAGCTCAAGCATGCCAACGAGACCGTTACCAAACCAAAGAGTTAGTTTTCAGCCGTTGTCTCCAAAACAACAATGTGAAATGATCAAACTCGAAGTATGTTGGACAACGTGAACCACGACAAGTAATTTTTCGTATTTCGTTTTGGAACTGAACGCTGTCATTACATACTTAGCTTAAGAGGTTTTTAAACCAATAAGCGTACTGAAGAGATCTAGATAATTGCAAGTTTCGAAGGTAGAATATAAATTCATTGTTTACCACGTGTCGTCTTCGACGTCGTTGTCATCAATGCTTAAGCTCCCTTTTGAATTCTTCTTGGAGACGGGATTTTCGCTAAAATCAAGTACTTGTTCTCATGAAATACTTTAAAAGTTCCTTTTCACACGAAAGCAAGCATTTCTTGGCTTTCTCTTATACTTACTGGCCGTACGTTCGCACGCTAAAGATGTCTACTTTATAAAAAAACAAGTCAGAATATATTTCACCCAGAAACGTGACGTTTATTTTAGAACTTGCTTTTCAATTTGATTGTTTTTTTACAGCGGCGATTTGTTACCATGCCAACGACATAAATGAAAGCTGTGGAAAACTACAAAATATCTACATCGAATCCAGGTAACCGCATGCTGTGAAAAAAACATGGACATTACATGCGTAGTTATTGGGAATAAACGATTTGAAGACTAAACCCGTATCAAATAAAAACGTCATTTTAAACCTTTAGTAACGATTGCTCGAGGCTGCAAAATTTTAGTGGTATTTATATATTCTAGGAATAGTATGTTTTAACTTATAGAAAAGATGTATGCTAACCTTTAGGATTTCCCGTTAAGAATATAATTTGAATGGAAAAGGTGTGAACAAAACAAATCGAAACTCTTCCTTAGTCGTCAATGTAATGATGTAATGTCAGTTCAGCTCTTGAAAAGACCAAGAGTTTAACTAGGCGCCTGCGTGTGTTGTAAGCGTATTTAAAGTTAACAGTAATGAAGGACACAAACTTCAGTTTGTGTCTTAATAAATAAACTAGTCTGTTGAATATTGACAGTTTACCATTCTACTGTTGTTGTTGTTGTTGTTGTTGTTGTTGTTGTTGTTGTTGTTGTTGTTGTTGTTGTTTTAACACATTGATACCTCAGAGGTGTAATTCACCTGCCTGTTTGAATGAGCTCAGTCACGGTATTTATTTTAGGTCTTTTAGCTACGAAAAAAAAATACCTTTAAATAAAATGAAACCTGAAAATGATCGTTTGCTAAGATAGAAGAACACTAAAGAGATAATAATAACCATATTGGAACAAGGATGGTTAAGTATGGAGAAGATTCACGCGGATTGAAAACGGCGACCTTGAAAAAATTTAGCCTAAACTTTTCAAGACGCGCAAACCGTGACGTAGCTCATGACTTGTCCTGTTTGCTTTCTCGGTTAACCCAAACTCGTCTTTCCTTACTGCCCCAGGATATGGGTAGAGAGACCTTGGGAACAAGACAAGTGATGGTGGCTTCTTTGGCCGTATAAATCACATGTTACGGTTTATCGTAATTAAATATAGGGATTTTATACTACAGCTCTACGTAAAGGTTATGCCCAGGTTGGATAACTGAATTTCCGTGAAACCGTAAACTAAGGCAATGCATGTTGTTTAGCCGGTCAAAAAACCCTCGGAAACTACTTTTTCCGCGGTAACCATCAACACATATTATAGGACGCGCTGAACTGCTGAACCCAAGGTATTTCAGATCGACAACAGAGGCCCGTTTTTCGAAGGTCCCGAAAAGTTTTCGCACCCGGAAAGCCATATCAAAATCTCGAGCCTTATGATTACATAGCTGTTTTATTTAATATGACCAGAAGTTCACTTCATACAAGAAGTTTCAGGCGTAAAAAAACCTTTCTGTTTTTAATACAGATGATGTAAAACCGAAAAGTTTCCCGGGCTTTCGAGAAACAGACCCCAGAACACAATTTCTTTCTCTCCTCCGCAGAGGTTCGAAATGTTCGTTATAGAAAGCCGCTGTGCGAGGTGAGTGCAGGCGCAAAGTCAAATAGGGGTGGCGAATGGTAAATGCGAGACTTTGCGAGACGACGAGATTAGCGTTTTTCTTTGCGAGCCCGAGACATTTTGAGTTCTTCAATTGCGAGACCGAGACTTTAAAGTGTTTTAAATGCGAACTCAAGACGTTCAGGTTCTAAGATATTGTGATGTCATTTCACTTTATAAAAAAAATAAACAACTCGGTGCTTAACGACTTTCTTAGCCTTGAGAGAAAACGAGACTGCGAGACAGCTTTGTGAGAAAAATCGAGACTGCGAGACGCACATAACCGCTAAAAAACGAGACTGCGAGACCCGTGAAATTCGGCAAAATTTTGCGAGACCATAGGTTTTTAAAGGACCATTCGCCACCCCCTCAAATGGATCGATCGAGCCTTCACGTAACTCTGCGTCTGCATTCATATCGTTCAGCGGATTTTCCCCACCCGAAAAAATCCTTTGAGCCTCTTCGGACGAGTGAGAGACAATATCATGCGATCGAGATTTCTTGTCCAAGTGTTCTGTGTCCTCATGGTTGTCACCCCAAATCGCATCATACTATCCTAGGAGCTTACGTTAACCCGCCTTGACGACACACTTCATCTTTACTGTTTAATGTTCCCAGGCCCCTTCCAGCCATAATTTCGTGTCCAGGGCCTAAAGTGTCCTCGCTGAAAAATGAACGTGGTCTCTGGGTGCGAGATTGACACAGTTGACTTTGGTACTTTCCCAAATGACCTAGTATCAAGTACAAACTACGAAAAGAGATAAAACGAAGCGAACGGAGCTAATATTAACATTTCGACATTAAAACTTCATGCAAGGTTAACTAAAAAAGTTCAAACCGTCCTTTCCATTTCAAACAAAACGAAAAGCAGGAACTCAAAGAACTAGTAGATACTCCCACAAACAGTCAACAATCAAAATTCGAAGCAAATGTGACGAGTGCAGAGCGCGGAAAGGTCACGTGACTTTTGCATGCATCTGATAGGCAAAACGGGGAATATCTTTATTTTGATTGGCTGGAGGCTTAGATCGCGCTGACAGATGACGTTGCTTGGTTTTTCAGTTTTTTCTTTTTTTTTCGCAAATTGATGGTTTATAAATGAAAAAACCAAAGCAACGTAATTACACTTTTTAAACGCTGAAAAATCTCCCTTCCACATTAAAAAAATACATTTTTCACAACAACGGCCATTTCTGTCCAACAGATGTGGCAAATGTAAAATTGTGGCAAATTAAACTTAGGAAATGTCAATAAAAAAATTGGTTCTAATTATTTTCATTCAAACAAAATTGACAGTAATTCTTTTTTCTCCTGAGAATTTTTCTGACCTGAACGGACGCTAGGTTATTGTTAATAAAGACACGATGTCAGTGAGAGGGGAAAGTAATTAAAACATATTGCAAAGGTAAGAGCTTTTGTACATCCGTCATTTGAACCGAGAAATTTTGTCCCGAGTAATAACCACTATTCAGAGAGTGTGACGTCGCAAGATTTAACCAAGGCTCGCAAATGAAATTGAAAGCCATCAATCGCTTTGATAATGGAAAAAACAAAATAGCATTCCCTCTGAAAAGGTAATTAGTAACTATGGAGTTTACGAGGAAGCAAAAGTCAAGGGAATACGTGATGGATATCATAAAACTGACATAAAACTGTAATTTTGTTTCGGTGCTGTCCTCCTTACGCTATAATTTCCTCTGTGAGCTAAACGAAATTAAAATTATACTATATGCTCTTTGATTAAGCAAATCAAGTTAGCTTAGACATTTTCTTGATTAGTCAAGAATTCTCCAAGAAGCCGCCGAAGATAAAGGTGAAAATATTATTAAGGTGGCCAAATTAAAGTTCTGTTTTTAATCTTCTCAAAATCTTATCCTGAGTGTGAGTGTCAATATGCAAGAAACCGACTCGTTCTTATGACGAAAAGCTCGTTAGCAGTGGACGCTTGCCGCAAATTATCAGTATTTAGAGAAGAAAAGGATAATTTAGCTTTATGAAACGTCACACCCTCCTTTTAACATACTTTTAATCGTGTTTGCGCAAACAATCCCATGTTTGCCATGACGCGGGGTGGGCGCTTAAAATGTTGTTTAAGGAGTGAAGGAAGAGAACAAAGTTGTTTGAGAGTGTTCAACGAGGGAAAAAAATGAATTCAAACAACGTGACTCAAAACTCAAGTAGTCCGCTCTGCTTTGAAGATTCGACAGAAGCCAAGGTCGGCAAAACGTTGGCGTACGCCGTCATCATGTTGGCGTCGCTACTCGGAAACTCCGCCATTGTGTTGGTGATCTGTAAAACGCAAAGTCTGCGCAATACAACCAGTTATCTTATAGCAAATATGGCCGTTTCTGATTTGCTGATGCCACTTTGCGCTATGCCGCGGATGGTCACCGCGGTTCATTTTGGCGCCAATCGCTGGCTGATTGGCGGGAACTTTGGCCTGGCCATGTGCAAGCTCGTGCCTCTCTTCCAAGATGTTTCAACCGCGGTGTCGACTCAGAGTTTGGTTCTGATCGCAGTGGATAGATTTTACAACGTTTTCTACCCGGTTAAGGCAGCCGTGATGAGCTTAAAAGCAGCCAAGATTGCTATACCATTCGTCTGGTTGATCGCTGTCATCCTTCACTCTCCGTACTTCTACATTTATAGAATTGACACCCAGGAAGGCGAAGCATACTGCTTACTGAACTGGTCTCCGCCGTTCGATAACATGCAAGCGCAGAAGTACTATTTCGTTCTTCTGGTTATTTTTCTTTTCATTCTTCCGTTTATCTTGATAGCCTCGCTTTACACCGCTGTGATCATTCGATTGAAACGACAACAATTCCCCGGGCAGTATCAAACTGAAAACGCACGAAAACTCCGAGAAAAGCGCAACAAGGCCATCCTTCAGCTCTGTGTTGTCATAGTGATGGTTTTCATGCTGTGTTGGATCCCTTTCGTCACATACGCGTTTCTGAAGTTTTTCTCGTGGGACACGCCTAACTGTGGACACAGCAACATCGCGTTTGCGGCTCAATTCATCGCGCATTCAATCAGCGCGATCAACCCGTGCGTTTATTTTCTGTTTAGCTCCAGCTATCGCCAGGGTCTCAAACAAGTATTCGCTTGCGTTTCCCGTGGGCGCTCTTCCAGCCGCGTCCTGCCCGCGATCAACGAGGAGCAACTGGAAATGAGGACGCGGGCTAGAACTCTGTCTATTCGAGTGCTTTGATCGGCCCGAAACAAAAACACAAGATCACTGGGGGACAAGAAACCACCACCACAAATTGACTGGCATCTCAAAAGTAGTATTAGTAAGTGTCAGCCACAAATTAACTGTAAACAAGAGATACAACTGACGTTGTAAATAAGTGACGAAAATGTTGACGCATGACGCAGACACCTGTATTGTAGTTTGGTCTCCTAATTAACTTGAAATTGATGTGGTCAGAGAAACATTTCTTAAGCATTTGAGGGAACCGCTGCGGACTATCAAAGAAACGTGAATTGAATTTAAAAGGTCGTGTCTTTCTTCATATTGACATCAGGCGTCCGGTCTTCCTTGCCTTCACCTGCAGCTTTATCAGCCTCGTTCCCAAGGTCTCTCCCCCTGGAAACAAGGTTGCAAGGCTAATTGGGAACGAGGTCACAGGGATTGTTTATGCCGTGCATTCAGTTGTCTACGACACAAGCAACGGAGAAAATTGAGCTGAGCTAATCTTATATAAGCAGTTCAGCAGCTTCCCTTCATTCCGTTCCATTTTCGGTTAGCGAGCATCAGAGAGCAAAAGCAAAACCGTCCCAAACTATTCCCCTAACCTGATGATGTTTCTGTTATATTTTTAGTCAAACTACGATGGCCTTAGAACAGAAGTTTATATGAAAGAATTGAAACTTTTTTGAAATCAAAACCTAGAAATGAATATTAAGAAAAACATCTAAGATGATAATCTTTAAATCATTTACTTGTTTGGTGTAAAATGCTTTATTTTAGACTGAGGAGACCATCGTTACAAAACACGAGGCAAAAAGTAATTAAAAACCCTCGTCTTTATTTCCCTTTAACTGACGTTGTTAATGTTTAACAGATAGTATAATATATACTGTTGCATAGGAACTTCACTATGTATCTAACAATAAATGCATCATACAGTCTAGCTTCGTATTTGCAACAATAAAGTCCACTGACCCACACCAGTCCTATTTCGGCCGTTATTTGGGGCGTCAAGAAACGTAGAAGCGTTGCGTGACCACTCGAGGTTGATCAAGTGATGAGAGTTCGAGATGTTTAATGATGCCCAGTATTTTACGCGGTAACATTACGTTGAAAAATTCTAATCAGTCTACACTTTCTAATTCCACTGCATTACAAAACCTCATTTAAATCATTGTTTAAAGTTACACACCTCACAGTGAGCAAATCACTAAACTAATTTTAGGTTCCTTTACTCTCGGTAACAAAAAATTACAGGACACATTACACAACGACCTCATCATTCCAGAACTTCTCCCACGGCCCTTATGAACAAAAGCAAGGAAAATTGTAAAGCTTAACTTGCAAATCAAAGACATGACTCGGACCAGTATAATGATAGCTTCTCACGCTGTAAAAACACGCGACATTACAGGATACATACACCACACACTAACCGTTGCCTACCTGCCTAACGTAACACAATTTAATGCTAGCCGCTAAAGATATCCACGTTAAACTCCTTTAGTTATAGCATTGTCTCCTTCCATGCGCTTTGCCGAGCCTCCAAATTCTCACTCTGAGCCTAAAAGGAGGAAAGAACAGTGTCAGTATGTAAACTAGAGATAAAACAGTCTTAGCATCAAATTTCACTTAGCTCATACATGGTCACCAATTCTTTGCACACATTTTCACATATTGACATAACTAATCCTACTATTAGCAAGCACGACGTTTTTCACACTTGAAACCAAGTTATATGGCCGAAGAGTTATGGAGCAACATCTTTAACTGTAAAATTTCTACTAAACTTAAAACATAGGTACCATATCTTTATTTGCTGTAACATGTTATATTTTAACACAAAATAATGAACAGCCTGAAACAGCTGCATTTAGTAGCCAAACAATGACTTAAAATTAGTTTTGCACGTTTGGAGCTAAAAGCTCTCCAAAGGGGAAAAAGAGTTTTAATAGTATTATTAACGTACCCTGAGTGCGAGCTGAGCCTTGTACTGCTGTCGGGCCATTTCATCTTGTACCCACTGTGGGACATCCGGGATCACATGCGAGAGGACTAACTTCACTCCCAGAAGAAAGTGCTGTGACCGAATTACAAAAAGCAATCATTATATGATGCAGCAATTCTATCTAGACCGCAAAATCGCTGAATTGCGGGACCTGTGTCAGGTATATATACTTTATAGATTCCGTTGTTTACGGATACCCTTTCCCTGATTTCATTATATGCTGGTTCTAGTTAACAATTAGACTACGAGTCCGAGTTTTCTATGAGAGAATGAGGAAGACGCGACCGAGTTTACCGTCACGCATAGAAAACGAGGGTGATTTACAATTGTTTAAGTAGACATCCCAAAAAATATGACACAAAATTGCGTGTTGCAGGCATTCGATTAGATAGGAAACAACACGAGAATTGACACGAGGAAAAATAGGTTTGGAGTACAGCCAGCGCGGGAAAGCTTCTCGCCCCAAAACCCTCCACGATGTTTTTTCAATCACATTCGCCGTTTCCAATACACTGAATACACTGAGTGTCTACTAGAGCGGTTTTCAATTGGGTGTCGTAAAAACAAAACCCGAGCGGTCACTCTAGCCAATCACAAAGGACAAAGACAATCCTGTGAACCAATCAGAACATGAAGTAAATACACATGTAGGTGATGTGAGCGCGGGAAAACGTGTGCGAGCGAGGCACGATTGGTTTTGGTTTTATTTCTGATTGGACGAAAAAGTGGCGCGAGTTTTTTGAAGCCAATCGTATCGCAAAGTAATGCAAAATTAATTACTTTTCGACTCTCAAGTGAAGACAGTTCTATTGCCTACTACAGGTCGTTCATTATTAAACCTACCAACACTAATGTCAAACTTAAGGATGGTTGCATTTTCATTGCAATATACTATTATTGGAGACAATAACCCAAAATGTGGTATGCAGCTCAACTGTACCTGAAATTCTGGGAAATTTTCTGATCATCACCAAAACTGACTTTTTCAATACGGTTAAGCCAACTGCATTTGAATCAGTCGAAACAAGTACGTTTTAAACAATATATCCTGATCTTGGACAAGTCGTGGCATATACGGCATGTCACCATGTACGCCATGAAAATCATGCACTTACCTCAATGGCCACAAACATCAAAACAGCATTGACAGGTGTCATTTCTGGCAGCCAATCAGCACTCTTTGCTGCCAAGCCAATCAACGCACAGTTTGTAATGACGGCAACAACGCCAAGCGCTTCGAACGCCGCCTGATAATAACGAGCAAAAAATGAATGGAAAATACCCGGTACTTAAGATGATGACAGCTCTTACTTTTAATGCAAGTGAATATATGAAAGTGAATATATAGGTGAATATATATCTTACTTTTAATGCAAGTGAATATATATAAACTGAGAGAAAGAATGATGATCGCTTAAGCAGCTGTGAAATTAAGGCCTAAAAAAAATTCAGGTTTGAACGGGATTAGAACCCATGACCTCCGCGATACAGGTGCAGTGCTCTACCAACTAAGGGACCGTTCATTTTTTATGAGGTAGGGGGGGCTGGTGGGATTTGGGGGGGGGGCATGCGAAAAAAAATGGCTTTCGAGGGGGG